GGGAGCGCTGTGCGGGGTTTCCACGGCGTGGCCCGGTGAGGGCATCAGGTTGGCACTGGGGCAGGGAGAGGTCGGCCCCTATCTCCGGAGTGCCCCGTGCGGCCGGGGCGGCGGGAGCAGTTAGCTGAGAGCCTCGCGGTGCCTGTGCTTCCCTGGCAGGTATTACGAGTACATGTTCGGGTACTCCCGGTGGCGACATCGGGGTCGAAAAGGGCTCGCCGAGCCGGAGTTAGCGCAGCTGCAGGTGGTGATCGCCTCTTCGGAGCCCGGCTGCAACGGCTACCCGCAGGTGGCGTCCAGCGAGGCCTGTGAGTATCGCGCCGGCGGGGGGCTCGCAGTACAAAACGCGGCGGTTTATATTAGGTCTGTTGCTGGCGGGTTTTTTTCCCTTTTCCTCCAGTCCACGGCTTATATAACGTATAGGCCTCTCATCGTTAGTGCTTGTTCTCCCGATCACATTTGCAATATAAAAGTCATCAACTTTTTAAAGGATTGGGAAATACCTGGCTCACTGAAGCTCTTTAAAACACTTCACAACAGTGACAACCAGAAGCGAATTCTTGCTTTTACATTTGTGGTGAAACTTTACCCATAGCGAATGATGAAGTCGTTTAGAAACGCAATCTATGACTTCCTCAGTTTAAATAGCATATGCCTGCTGCTATCCTTTCTAATAACTATCATTAAGAATCACAGGTATAGTGCTGTACTGTATCTAACTATGGGTGATTGGATCTGTAAGTAGTCAGATCATCCTTTCTTTTAGTAATTGAAGGGTGTTGAATGAAGGCTGGCTTTGCTTATTCATCCACTCTCCCTTGAAATAACTACATTTGAAATAAAGCAGTCTACACTGACTTATGTACTTGGCTTCTGTTTTCCAAGAAAAACAGGATGTGTTCGTTGAAGTTCTTGTCATTCCTCTTGCAGTATTTATAAATCCTTGTTCATTCTGTCAATAGGTATGAGGAAAAAAGGTTTAAAAACATGATGGTTATATCAGAGTTGTTCTGTTAGGCTTCTTTAGTTTCATGACTAAAGCCGAGACTGGAGAAATACTCTAAAATCGAATCCTAATTACCAGAGAAGTCTCATAACTCAAATAAAGATGAGTTGAGATAATAGTGCTTATTATCTGGGGAAGTTAACACAGAATGAGAAGTCAATTCATTTAATTCTGTCTTGAGACAATCTTATAGGTCTGTACTAGTTGAGGCAGTTGTATCAAGGATATGCATCCTTAGAAAAAGATCCCTTAAATCTGAAGTCATGCTTCTGCAGCAGAAGTCAAATAACTTCTTGATTTTTCAAATTTTCTCAGTCCTTTTGGTACATGTAGCCAAGTAGTGCAATATTGTATGCCAGTTTATCATACATTAAAATACAAAAAGAGATATAGCAGTAAATTGATGATTTAGAATTTCTTTACCATGATAGCTTTTATATTGTTTCACTACTAGTGAACTTTGAACTGGTTTGTGAACTTCAGATTTTAACCAAAGCTAATTCTTTTCTGACGGGGAATCTGTCAGATCATGTGATTTTTTTTTAAGTTGCATTCTTTGTAACAGTCAGAGTTTCTTCCTCTGCTATAGGAAAGCTATTTCCTATTACACAACACAGAGGGTTGTTGTTTTTGTTTTTGTTTTAGTGTAGTAAGATGAGTTCTCCAAATTTCAGCAAGGATTTAACTCTCTAGTTTTCATGGGATGGCTTGTTCAGGGAACAATGTTGAACTATGTGGTTGTTATTCACCTGCTGGATAGCAAGTTTGGCTCCATATCTTAACAGAGACAACATGGGTCAGTCACTGGAGTGATTCTATAGCAAGAATATTGGATACCTATGAAAAGTACAAGTTATCTGCCCTTCTACCTACTGGCTTCTTTGCCCCTTTGTGTAAAAGGTTCCATACAGCTATACAAAACTTGTTATGCTGCATTCATTTAAGGTATGATACGTGCTCAGGAAAAAACTGCTGGCTTAGAAGCAAATTCCTGACCAGAACTACAATTTATGACTAAAGGATCCATGGAGATTGTGATCCTGTTCCAAGGTCTCTGTTTCTTAGCCAGAACTTCCAGTGTACACAGAAAAGTCTGCTTAGGTTAAAATGGCAGCTTGAGAGCCTGAATGGCTTTCTCCAGTAGTTTAGTCAAATGTTTGTACTGTATAATTTATAACTAACTTATTTCTTACTGAGGTATATTCAACAAATTATCATGCAGTAATTTACCCCTCTCTAATGTTTCCCTCTCTCTGTTTTAAACGCACGACTCTGGTCAATTTATTATTGCTGTGATGTTTAAATATACTATATCTCTCTGGGGATTTTTTTTAAACCAACATTTAAAAGATAACCTGTTTCTTTACTAAAACTTACTGAACCATTTAAAAAAGAAAAACAGAGTGACTTGAGCTTTGTTTTTTTTCTAGCACTTTGTGGTCAATGAAACTTCTTCAAATTTAAGGAGGATTATTACAGATCCCTTCAGATATCATTTACTTTTATTCCTCCGTCAACGTATTCTCTACCTACACATCCTCACCAGATGGTGGTTTGATTTTTTTTTTTTTGCCCCCTCCCCCCACCCCCCAATAATTGGACCTTTATAATAAGCACCAAATAATATTACTTGACAAACTACATGTCTAAAAAATATGTAAACACAAAGTATATAAAAGGAAGGTAAAAGGGGAAATAAACTTTTGTGGTTAGGTCTGGCTTAGTTACGCAGCCCTCATCGCCTATATATGAAATACAAAAATGACATTTGATATGCTTTAAATCACTTGGGCTAAACTAGGCTGGAATTCTGGCCTTGTGTGTGATATTCACCACTCACATTATTAAGCGCCATATTTGCTTTATCGTCTTACTGATTAACTGTTGACTCTCGGACAATAGCTTGCAGTATTTCAGGAACACAAAAACAAATGCTAGATAGCTGCACAGCATTACCGTTAAAAACAGTGTTGGTTAGAATTAAAAAATACTACAAGAAGAGGGAGAAACTGAACTTGAGAAGTCTTTTAATGCCTTTTAGCAGTCGTCTTGTCATTCCATGCTTTCTTGAGGAATAGCTGCTGCTTCTTTTCTTTAGATCATTTAACCATAACTGAGCCTGTGGCTGTACTGAAAGCAGACGAGGTATGGGGTGCTTTAAGAGGTAAGCTAATACTTTTCATATGGAGCTGTTTGTTCTGACCTTATGTGACAGGCTAAGAAGCAGCTGATCCCTGAGCCTTGCTCTCATTCCGTCCTTCATGAGAAGAAAATTTGGGCAGATGGGCCAAAGGGTTTCAAGACGTGTGCTGGCCAGACCTTCAGTCCAGATGCTCAGCAGCCCAGCTCCAGTGGCACACCATAAGTGCACTCTTGCTGTGCTTGAAATATCCAGCTTCTATCTGGATAGGCAACCAAATTTTTGGTGCTAAAAAACCCTCTGATCTGCACTGTAGACAAATTATTCTCTAACTGCACCTAAGAGCTGAATGTACTGAACATGTCACCAACAAGATTATAATGAAGTTTGTCTGCTGTTCTTTTTGGAAGACGAATGTTATCTAAACTAGTAAATTTTTCATGCTGAATTAGAAACTTCACCAGTTCCAGAAATGGCAGGAATACACGCATGACAACACTAGGCATGCATGCGTTCCTCTCTGTTCTATTTAAGGGTTAATTTGGTACAGCTGAGCAGTAGTGATACAATTTAGTACTCTTTCTATAACAGAGTTCTCTCTCACAGTACATCATTAAATGTGATCTTTGAGCAACTAAGGAGACTGTGGTGAAGAGAAAGAAACTAAGCTACAAAGCATTCTTTCTAGCTGTGCAAATGCCCATAAATAATTATGGTCCTGTTTTTAACTGAAGTTTTAAGGACAAGTACTGGATTGTGCTCCAAATCCATTTCTTGGATGTTTTCAGGTTTGGAAACCTTCAGCCAGTTGGTTCATGAAGATGATTACGGAAGTGTGAGTATAGCTATTAACTGAAAACACAGACCTGATAGCCCTCAGCCGCATTCTCTATTAGGTGCTCTTCTAGAAACAGTAGATCTTCTGCTAGTCACCTTGGCTGTTTTTCCAGAATACTGTCTTTGGAATGCTGCTAACACACTGAAAAGTCAATGTATTTCCTGTTTGTAATGATGAACGTACAATGGGAATTCTAATTTTTAAATCTCATTCTCGTAGTTTCTTGTCAATGCATCTGAGATCTACGACTTCCCAAGATTTGCACACAGAGGAATTTTGCTTGATACTTCAAGGCATTATTTACCGTTGAAATCTATTCTTACAAACCTGGTAGGTGGACAATTTTGTATCATTAATAATAAAGGCTTTTTGGTTTTGTATTTTCCACCCTGAAATATTAGCAATAGATGTTGATTTCAAAGGAAAACCTGTTTCCTCTGACTGACCTCTAAAAGGACAGAGTGAATTATGCTAAGAGGACGTCAGAGCCTATGCTGGAGAGGAATCGAGATCCTGAGTGGGCAGAGGCAGTGGTTAGTGAATCTGTGAAGGAGAGTGGGATTTATGGCACCTTGAATTTTCAGCATTTTCTGTTGGCTAGACCAGCTCCATGCATTTCTCAGAAGCACATTCTGAGACATCTGACTGTCGATGTGCAATACTGGGAAGGCCCTACAAGTCCTGGACTAAGCTCCTACGATCACAGGAAAACTCCAGTCACTTCTATAACTAGGCTTTGGTGTTCCTTTCTTATGTAGATTAGGTTGCTCAGATCAATTCAGTAACAAAGTAGAGAGGGGAGATTCCAAGGTGTTCATGATTTTCATGTTCACGAATTTCTTTCACTTCCTGCGCCGTGCCCCTGGAAAGAAAGAACTGGGGGGGATAAGCTCTCTTTTAAGAGCTTACTAAGGACTAAGCTTACTTAGAGCACCCTAAGAATTGTATGCTCCCACCTTGAACAGACTGCAAGATGAGGAATTTGATCATAGCACCTGGAGCTGTGGGGTTTGGGTGTTTTTTTTTTTTTTTCCTGCCCTTTTCGCCTGTTAAAACCCTGGTAGCAGGGCTTATTTGGTGGGATGAAATTAGAGGAGCCTTTGAACAGGAGGGAACATGCAGTTTCCTGTCGTGTCTCTGTGCTGCTTTTTCCAAGAGAAACCATGTTTTTAGATGCTTCCCTTTCATGTTTCAGGACTTAGCAGAGCAGACTTGAGATGGGCATGGAGGGAGCATAGGTAAAACTAGCCTTTATTTTTGAGGTCATCCTTGAACTACGTGCTTAGAGCTATACTGGGACTTTCACCTCTGTGGGTATTTGACTGCTTGTATTTACCTTTAGGATCAGTCTCTGCTTAGCAAGTAGTGTTTGTGCAAGCAGTCATTTACAACTGAGAATGCTCCAACAGCTCAAGTAGTTCCTGTGTCAATATTTGTTGTCGTCTTTAAAAGAGCAGAAATCTGTCCAAGGCTAACTTTTGAGACTTGTGTTCCTAACCTTTTTTGTATATCTGTAACTGTTGCTTGTCTAGGGTTTTTTCCTTAAATTATTTCTGTGGCTCTAATGCTTCCCCAGAGCTGTTTTATGCCCTTTTGCTGGTCTAAAAACAAGTGCACCTTTCCTCCCACCTTTGTGCCTGCTTGAATCCAGCCTAACCTAATAAAAAGCAGCAGTAATCCCTTCACTGACATGTGGTAATTAGATGCTTAAGGCAGCAGTTTAAGTACATTTCCTGTTCGTATCTAACTGCTGTACTGTAAAAGGGCAGGCACTGTCTCGGGTAAGGGCACAGAAAAGAAGGTCAGGAGGTATAATTTTCCATGTGGAAAGATAGTATTTGCTGAAGCGCATGTAGATAATTGGTAATTAATACTTCTGCTTGTCTAGCAAAGCAGATGAGAGAATTTTGGAGAACAGACAAAGTATAAAGCTTCCTTTGGATTAGGGAAGAGTTCCCTAAAAAGATTTTGTTACTTCTTTAAATACAGTTCAATGAAAAGAGGAGAAGAAGAAAAAAAAAAAATGATGGCAAGCAACTGGCAACTGTCTTGCTGTTACTTAGTCCAGAAGTACGTAGAGAACACTCACTCCCTCCATTCCCACTGCAGAACACTCCTACAGACTCTAAAAGAAACTTGTATAACTTAGGATACATGTTTAACCGTCCCGTTTGAGTCATGATTTTGTAATAAACGTGTTAACATTTATCTTGATTATGTATAGTGGACAGAGGGGAAGTATTGACACTATTAAAAGAAAAGAACACCACTGTCTTCTGAGGGGGGAAGTGCATAGTTTATTTTATATGCATTGAAATGGATTCTGGAGAAGTCACTAACTGATAAGGATGTCCTGGTGGGAATCTCTCGTGCTGTTTAGTTTTCAAGTCTGAAGTCTTTAGATAGAAAAGCATAAACAGTGAAACAGTTGGTGGCACACAGAGAATTACTCAGACGTGTTGTGAAGTGGAAGAAGAACTTAAAGCAGTTTGTTATCTACCACCAGTTTAGCATGATCAGATCAACTGCTTGTTGACAGGAGCGGAGCAAATAGACAACCGAGAAAAGGAACAGTAATATGAACAGGTTGGTGCATTTTGGTGTATGCTTCTAGGATTCAGTGAGAAGCCTGGTACACTTGGGTTGGTTGGTTTGTTTTTTTAATTGTTTGTTGCTTTAGGCCTGCAGGATGCTATCGTGAAATAGTGGAAATTTCCAACTAGTACTGGGACAAGAGCACCTTTTTTGCATGGGTTTTCTGTGGGAGTGAAGTGCTTAACTAGACTGTATTGCATCGTGTTTTACAGGATGCCATGGCTTTTAATAAATTCAATGTTCTCCACTGGCACATAGTAGATGATCAGTCATTCCCTTACCAGAGCGTCTATTTCCCTGAGTTGAGTAACAAGGTGAGTAAATATCATTGCAACAGGGTGGGCAGAACTCTGGCACATATTTTCTGAAAATAAAATACAGACATGAGAGCACTACAAATGGAATAAACCTGTCTTGGCTGATTGTGAAACAGTACCAAAGGACCACTAAGCACCAGCAGATCCACACTTAAGATCCTGCCTGAGGGTCTGCTTGGACCATGTTTAGGTATTTCTTGGTGGATGCATGGTCATTACCTTACTAACTCTACAACTCGGATGTGATAGTGATTCCCAGTGTTTGCAGACCTTCAAGCAATAATGCTGTGCAAATAGCTTCTTGTGGTAAATACTAGTTCGATCTCTGTGCTTTTGTTTTGTTTTTTTTAACTCTTACACTTATTGCAGTGGCAGGAAACCTAACAAAATTTCTCATCAGCCATAGGTTTAGAACCACTGCAATAATATTTTTGCTCTTTCTGAGATCTAGTTAACTTACACAACACTTACGTAAGAAGTCCAAACATGAGATGATGTTTCCTAAAACAAGTGCAGTGTAACGTACCTCTTTACTGCTTGATTCACAATAGATCTTCCTAATTAATGAAAACTATCAGGAGGTTCTTGTTCAATCACGTAGTAGCCAAATCAAAGCACTAATAATTAAGCAGACAGCCTACGCACAAGATTGATGATTTTGTTTTAAAGTGCTTGTTAGAATTTGACCTTCATATAAAAGCTATATAGGCAGTGCTTAAAGCAGATGCCATGAAGAATTTAAAAATCAAAGTCTGTGAATGCCAGATGATGCAGTCAGATTAGCTGTCCTAGTAATGGCTTAAGTAGGCTTCTGTTCTATTGCACACTGACAGCTGGGGAGAGAGAGATGTCCTTTGGCTGAGTAACCTTCTTTTAAAAGGCTGCTGCTTTGCACTTTTTTTCCTTTCTTTTTTAAGTAATTCAACTGTGGAAGCAGTTTCCAGACAAATGCTATTTATCGCGAGGAGTCATGATACTTTTCTTTTGCAGTTTTGCTCTTTGGTGAGCATCTGTTCCACCAAACTGTAGAAATGTGGGTCATTTGTCATGTTTCTGTTGGCTGTGTGGAAGTGCAATAATGCTCAAATTCAGCCTCACAAGGCAAACGTGTCCTGATGCCAAATTAGGTGTTATATCAAAACTGACACGCAGAGGTGTCATGTGAAGAAGCCATTTTTTCCTGACTTGACTTTTTCCACTAGTCTTGTATGTCACGTAGCAACAAGGGTCCTCTATTTCAGAACTAGCGGTGCAAAGGTGGAGTGGAAAACTAACTTGCCTCTGTGCCGAATATTTGAAAAACATATCTGTAAATAATCTGATGGAATAGAAACTAGCCTTTCTATTTTCTTCTGTAAATGACTGTGAGCCAGGGAAGGAAGAAAGACCGCCTCAGATTTACTTTAGTGTGAAAAGCTGGTTCTTTTTTCACTAGTCATCCAAAAAGTTTTGTCCGTGTAGTTGCACATGTGATAAGCTAGAAAAGGTCAATTTGTAAAATTGCTCTCTGATCTAAAGTATAACACTTTAATCCCAATTTTGTGAGGTGCTGGTATAACATCTTGTAAACTGTCTCTAAATGTGAACACTTCACAGGGAGCTTACTCCTATAACCACATCTATACTCCTACTGACGTCCATCTGGTGATTGAGTATGCCCGGTTAAGAGGCATTAGAGTTATCCCAGAGTTTGATACCCCAGGACACACGCAGTCTTGGGGAAAAGGTATGTCCAAGAAAGTATTAATGGTTAAAAGATTGCAGCATAATATTGCTATATAAAAGCAACCGCTTTTGCTAAGAGCGCTCCTTGAAAGGGCTTTGAAAGGCTCTTGCTAAGTGGTAAGCAAGGGAAAGAATCAGTGATGGTGATGACCGTCACATGTTGGAAGAACTAAAGTGAATGGAGGAAACTGAGACTGAGCAGTTATTTCCTGTGATGGATGTGTGTGCAAAGGCAGATATGTATTCCTCTGTCTGCCTTAGACTTCATATATCATTATCACACCATCCAGTCGTCTTGAATTTAGAGTAATAAGGCAATGGCTGGACGTAGTGAGCTATTCTCTTCAGAGCAGAGATTTCTCCTTTAGGAAGGTTCTTATAAAGTGCTTGGTGTTTCTTTCTATTAGTACAGTGATATTCTGCCAATGTACAGAACACAGCAAAACTGGACACTTCCTTTGCTCTCGATCTTCTGGATTTGAGAGAAAAATATATGTAATTTTTTTTATAGACACGACTTTCATAATTCAATTGCTGGGTTTTTTACATAAAGTCAAGGACCAGGGATCCTTGTGCCTTAATTCAGAAGGGGAATAGATGCATGGACTGTTATTCCACTGAAGTTAACCTAAGACATTGTTAGCTAAACTGGAAATAGCAAAAATTTTCTGGTCCCGGGTAGCGTTAGCTTTAGCCACAGGATGAGTCTTGTACTCTGCTGGTGGGGATGTAGCTGTAGAATGTTAGATGTTCAGGCTCTTTCTCACTAATTTTAGATGAGGAGGAAAGGAACAATACAAAAGCTAAGTTTGCTAAGCACTCCTTCTAAATCCTTTGTCTCATCTAGTCTCTGCTCTTATGAGGCATTAACAAAATCCAGTGCCTTGCCCAGTGACATGTGGATGACTGACTGACCTACAATCAGATAAGAGCAAGATTTAGCTCTCTAGCCTAGAATCAGCTGTTCCCGATTGCTTCTTGTATTACAGCTTTTTGTACGTAAAGGACTGCAGCCAATCCTGGGTTTGGCTATGGACCTGGGAGCTGTAGCTACGCTTTGCCTGCATTCAAATTCAAGATGTGGGGGAGAGGCCTGAAAACAAGCATGGAGGGTGGGCGAGGCAACAGATGTACCACTAGGGCCCTGTTCTGGGGAATGTGCTTGGAGCAGGGACCACAAAGAGTTGGCGTCTGGCTATGGGAAGCTGCTGCTGCAATCATATTTTACCAAGTAAATAGACCTTGGGAATCTCCAGCCTACACTTAAACTTTTTCCTATTTTGTTATCCTGTCTCAAGTTGCTTCAGATAGCCTGACTCCAGAACTAATGGTTGGTTTTGATTTTTTTGTCTAGCCTTCCTTTCTTGTGTAGAGGTAATTTCCTAGCAGACTGGGGTGAGACATCTGCCTTGAGCCAAATACCTCCTGCCTACTTATGTGCTAGAAAAGCAGGGTAATAAAAAGAGAAAAGATAATGAGCATGTGCTCAGGAGGCCTGTTTGGCTTCCTTCCTACATCCATTAAAGCCTTCCCATTCAAGTAGTCATCCAGAAGTTGTTTTCCAGGTAGTGACATGTTCCATAAATTAGTGTTTTAAAATCACAAATCTAAAAGCTAGAGTCCTAATTTCTGGTTAGAAGGGTGTGTTCTCCGGCCTTGGGCAAGTTGTTGTTTTCACCTTTCCTCTATTTCATTGTACCTAGAATAGACCAGCACTTAAGTGATGAATATCAACCGCTGTAATATGAGTAACTATGTCTTCCTGATAGCAAAGTTAGCACAACAACACAGAACTGAATATCCTATATTAATTGTTTCCATTAGGTCAAAAAGATCTTCTCACCCCTTGTTACAGTGGAAAGCAGCCAAGTGGGTCCTTTGGACCTGTAAATCCCATTTTGAATACAACTTATGACTTCATGACTAAATTCTTCAAAGAAATCAGCAGTGTATTTCCTGATGACTACATTCACCTGGGAGGAGATGAAGTGAGCTTCGCTTGTTGGTATGGTGACAGTTCAAAGAATAAATGTCTAGTGTCTCTTAAACTTGCCTAACTCCAGCAATTATGGTGCTCAGTTGGGTAAGACGGTTTTCTCTGCTTAACCCAAAGATCTCTTCCACTCCTTCTATAACAATTTATTGGCAGAGCGTTTGTGACCTTAAACAAGCAAGTATTGTGGGAGTTAAAACTGTTGTGCAGAATTTTGTTTTGACCAAGTTTCACAAATATTTAGGGAGAGGGTTTCTGTATGAAAACTAACCTGGCAGGAAAAAGAACCAGTATGGAAGAAAAGTACTATATAAGATAATTAATATTTAAATGCTGTAGGATAAATGAAAAGCAGTCCTTTTCCTTAGAGTTCTGACTTCCAGAAAATCTGTTAACCTTAAGAATTACAGTAGACTCTTGTGTGCTTGTATTAAAAGCAATGGCACATATTAATACAGTTCCTCAAGTGGTTGTGGATGTTGCATAGTTTGGAGTCTCTCTGCTAGAGCAACTAATGATACAGAATTTGGATCTGATCTAATAAGATTAATATTCAATTTGGTCTAGTTAATATTTATGCATTCTTTTGAAATATCAGATCTGAACACTCAGAATTTACTTTAACTTTTAAAAGCAACGATAAGTCCTGACAAATGCGTTATCACAAAGTGTTGGTTTGGTTTTGGGGCGTTTTCCCAAGCTCGCTCCTTGATGTCACCCCAGCAGATCCCCTGGCTATGGCTGCTCAGTTTCCAGGCCTGCTGGCAATCTTCCCGCTAAATTGCAGAAGAGCCAGGAACCCCTCAGCTTTTAGGAGCCTGAGACAGCCTGCCAGAGACTGCTTCAGAACAGGGTCTCCCAATAGCTTTCCCAGGAAACTAGGACTCCTGGCTTTGTTTCAAATCAAGATGAAACACAGTTTTAGAGTAAGCAAACCATGTATCCTGCTGTCTTTGCTCTGTTGTGCATTCCAGGTGGGAGCAAGCCTAAGGCATCAGCTAGTGTTCTGCAGTCAGCAGCCTCTTGCTGCATAGGTGAAACTAGCTGGAAAATCTACTTTAAAACAAAAGTGATGTTCTTTTTTGACTTAGTTTATTATTATTATTAAGGAAATCTAACCCTGAAGTGAAAGAGTTCATGAAGAAGCAAGGATTTGGCACTGACTATGCTAAACTGGAATCTTACTATATACAAAAGTAAGTCGTGGGTTTTTTCTTTCTTTCTGCCCAGCTTTCCGCGCCATTTGGGAGGCTTGCTGGAGTTTAGATACTGAAACTCTTTTAAGTTAGACTGATCTGGTTTCACAAAGTCCCATGTATTGGGGACTACCCACTTTTTCCTTTTAATACACTGAATGTGAAGTTCTTTAAAATGTGGGATGGAAGCAAATGTTGGCCAGTTCTAAGCACGCTCTGAATGTATGGCATTTCTTAAACCAAGTACCTGCTATCATGTCAATACAAGGGAAAGGCCCAAGGTTTTAATAGCCGTGTGTTTCTCTCGTTGTTCTTAAACAAAACAGATTTTGCTGCCTCTAGAAGCTCCTAGCTGAAGTTCTGAATCTCAGTTTTTGTTACTGCAGCTGCATGGGAGAAGACCTCTTCCAGACAGTGCTCTGAGGAACAAAAAACATAAAACCTTGGTTTCTTTTGGTCCCTTCTGCAGCACTGGGGAGGGCCTGGTGTGTGTTAGTGTAGAAATAAGCCCTTTCATGTGTCTGTACTGAACTCACGAACAATCACAAACCATGATATCATTTCTAAATTCTAGGATTTTGGACGTTGTTTCCTCCTATAACAAGGGATACATGGTCTGGCAAGAAGTGTTTGATAATAAAGCACAGGTAGGATAGGGAAAGAAACAAGATACTCTTCCTTAACAGCACAGTATTGTGGGAGGCTTTCAAAATGCACTGTTAAGCAGTATATTATGTGTCTTAAGAGTTAAAGCAAGTCTGCTGGCTTTAGCAGGACAACACAAGTAAGCCTTCCCAGGTGTGGGGCCTAACTTGAAACTACCATCTTATCGAACAGGTAAAATAGGTGGAACAAGAATGTCAGGGTTTAAGATTTTTGTAAAGGTGAAAGCAGATACTATAACACACTTCAGGACACCAAAGTAGAGGAGGGAAGCTTCTGTGTATTTCTGTATTTTAAAATTTCTCATATAACTCTGCATCTGGATCAGTAATACCAGGTGCTTGAAGTCTGAGCTGTTCACAGATCACTGATGCATATGAGACTCTAGGCATTAACTGTCTGTAATATAATCTAGGCTTCACTGTAGGATGAACTCTGTTTAAAACCAACAAAGTGATGATCAGCTTGAGATTTGGAAGAAAGCAATTGCCAAAAGGTAGCTGCTGAAGTGCTCCTCTTTGAGAATAAAATACACTCCTCAGTTTTAAAAATCCATCATTCTTTTTCCCAGTAATAGCAAATAGGATTCTTTCAAGTTAATTTTTCTCCTCCTCTTTCTAGCTAAAACCAGACACTGTAATTGAAGTGTGGATGGGAAACAACTACGTTCAAGAACTGAGCAATGTCACAGAAGCAGGGTTCACTGCTATCCTTGCAGCTCCCTGGTACTTAGACTACATTAGTTATGGGCAGGACTGGAAGAAATACTACAGTGTTGAACCACTTAACTTCCTGGGTTTGTTTATTATCCTTTTTATATGTCTGTTGTGTGCATTAAAGTCTTTGGTTCATAATAAGGTGTAAATGGAAAGAATAAGGTTATTTAGAGATGACATGCTGTAACTATGAACAGAGAGACTGTAATCAAAGGACTAATGTCCAATAGAACTGTGAAAATGTGCAACTTTCCAGCTGTCACAAGAAAGTGTTACATACCTTCCTTGAGCATCAGCACGAGTGCTTGTGTGTGAGACAGGATGCTGGACTGGCTGGACAGATACCTTATGCATTAGGGTTACAGATGTCCAAAGTGGCTGTTGGTAGACAGTACACCAAAACTTTAAAATGATTTTGAGTAAGTTTAGGTCATATTAGAAAATAGCTGTGGGAGTGGAGAGGGGAGTTTGGTCCCATCCATTCCCAGCAAGGAGGAGATGCAAGTGTGCTTTTGTTTTGTTTGACCGAGTAATTCAAGGAATAAATTCCTACCTACAAGAAATCCAGGTTTGCTTCCCTTTTCCCTGGCAAGCCTCAAACTCTACAACTCAAAGCTTCTACGGTATTAGGCTGTTCAAGAAAGACGTGTTCTCTTCCTCTGGCTACAACTGCTACAAACATATCTTATGCTCTTCTTGGCTTTCATTTTTATGTAAAGTATCTCCCTGAGTTGGTTAGGTAGACCAGCTGACTTCAGTAGCTTTTTCAAGGAATGCTGAGTGTGTAATAAAATGACCGGTTACAACCAGGGTTGAAATCTCCAATCAAAAATGTTTGTTTAAAGGCAGGGGCATGTCTTCAGAGGATGAAGATTAAAAATTATTTCTACCAAAGAAAGGAACATTTTGCAGAAAGCTTGGGTTCTCTGGGCAAATGGTATGATAATTCAGTAACAAGACTAATAAAACATTAATTGAGTGCTCAGGATAGGTTGTTTTTTTTTTTTTAGATATGATAAAGTAAACATCAACTAAACAGCAATACTTTAAAAGTGTTCAAGAATGAAATTTATAATATGCTCATTTTCTGGGCAAATAGCAATTCTAATTTTCTGTCCTTGAATACAGGATCTGAAAAGCAGAAACAACTTGTAATAGGTGGAGAAGCCTGCCTGTGGGGGGAATTTGTGGATGCAACCAACCTCACACCAAGACTATGGTATGAACTTCTCCGTCTTTAGATTTTTAGAAAGCTAGCTACAATGAGTAAGAATTAATCCAACAGTACTTTGTTAGCAGTGGTATTGTTCTGATACTGATAATAACCCACTATACAAATTGTTGCTTCTGGACATGAGAGTGGGTATTAAAAACTTTAATCCATTTCTGGTAACAGCATATGCCTGCTTTAAAACTCAGTATGCTTTTACAGGCCTCGTGCAAGTGCTGTAGGGGAAAGACTCTGGAGCAGCAGGAACGTGACTGACTTAAAGGATGCTTATAAAAGGCTATCTAATCATCGATGCCGCATGCTCAGGTAAGATTAATAGTGCTAGTAAAGCTTGGTGCTCATGCCTTAGAACCACTGGAGTTCAAGTACAGGCCTAAATTGCTGGCCCAGAAGTGAACTAACAACCTAATCTGACAACGTAAATATCGTCCCATGTGGTCCTCATATCTTCAAAAGAGGAAAAAAGAGATGCATTAAGACAGGACTTCCAAACTTTGCAACTAACACCCTCAGAACCTGTTAATCTTCTTCAGTGAAATACTACAGCTTATCTCTGTCCCTCTTTCCTCTCAAGGAAAAAACGAACATCTTGATTGACTTATTTCATACAATAAAGGGTGTGTGGGAGGAGTGCAGACGGAAAAAGCAGACTGCATTTTTTAAATATTATGAAAATTAAAGAGCTGCAGCAGGCAATCAAATGCAGCTTCTTGCATGGCAGGTGAACTTGAGGAAGCTATTCTTTCAGGTTTTGCCTTAGTGTGGAGTCTGAGGGGTGAATGAGGAACCCTGATGAATTAAGTTTTATTTACAGCTACTATAAACTCAGTTCATGACTGATTCTACTGATTCTTGTCTGCATGTTTTTCCCCAAAAGCTGCCTAAAGAGTTACTGCTTACTGCTAGTGCATCTTCTACAACTATGCATAGACAAAGATAGCAGAGTTTGCAAGACTCTGACAAGAGAATGTTAAGTGTAGATTAACAAGAGAATGTTAATTGTAGATTCTGGTTAGTAACTCATGCCGTTAGTCCTCGAGGTAGCATTGTAAAATGAGTTATTTCGAGGCCTTAAGTCCAAGTCTGACTCTTTTAAAAAAGTATACAGCCACAGAGATGTTCAGGTTTTCCCTAACGCTGTCAAAGCTGCACTACAGCAAGAATGCAACATGCCAATTTAACTTCTTTATGGAAGTTTATGACAAATCACAGAAAAATACCAACTAACTGCGGGAAGAAGGATTTCAAGGTACAAAACTCGCCCAGTCTGCTCAAGCTCCTGTAGGTGGCTAAGGTCATCTCTCTCTCAGCGTGACTACATGTCTGAATTACCAACTTCTAGCCTAGAGTATAAAAGCTAGCTTTTAAATAAAATAATCAAGCTAAAAAGGAGCTGAGACACTAAACATACATACGTTTTAATTGACTTTTTTGGTTAATTTCAAGCTGGCTTTAAAGAGTACTATAGGAAACTACTGTTATACCTGAACTGGGTTAGCTCCTTCATTTATGAGAATAGATGCATTAAAGGCGAATTAGCAAATACAGGTTAAAAACGAGATTAAGAAGTGATGTCCCATCACTTAACAAGATAATGCTTTTCTTGATGAGGCTTAAAAGAAGAATGCTTACAAAACTGAACAATCAAGTGTTCGCTGGCAGTGCCCTCTGAGATTAAGGTTTAACTAAGCCATGAAGGAGGGGGTAGCTGCTATTCCTGGACCTGGTTAGCCACTGTTGCATTTCCATCTTCTCTACCTTAATGCTGGCACTTGTGCTTCTACTGATGTACAGGGAGCTGATCCAGATGACTGTAGCTGCTTGCTCAGGAAGTGCTAGCAAAAGAGCTAAGGAAAGCAGGGACAGAATAAAGACTACTCCCCTGCACTCCCCCCCCCCCCTTTTTTTTTTTAAATGAAGTAGTTCAGGTGCTCAGACCATGCCTTAGAACAGCTTTGCTGGCATAGAAACTCATGTGGAACAAGTCCTGTTATGACACATTCTAGGTCAATAAAAGGACATGTACACCTCAAAAGCATTCCCTTGATGTGGGCTTTAAACCAGAAAAAAATACTAGAGAAACCATTCCATTTCAATAGATGAACTAAGCATTCTTTGGAGCTGCAGTTGTATTGCCTTTTATATTTGCAGCCTCCCATCAGACTGACAGACTTCACTTTGCATGAATAGCACAGAGCTGATTTAAGAAACAGTCTATTGGTAAGGTCGTAGTCAGGCCAATGCTCTGTTCTTACCAAAGTTATTACACATAATATATGTATTGACATTTAATATACATGCTAAACCTGTGGCAGTCCTTGCAGGCTGAGGAGCCTTTCCAAGTCCACTCTCTCTTCTTGCCTATACAGCTAGCTAGTTGTGTGATTATACCATATGCCTTAAACTTAATATTTTAACAGCCGTGGGATAGCAGCTGAACCTGTGTTTGTTGGATACTGCACTCATGAAGCAAGAGGGAGGTAACTGCTACAAGGACTTCTACTAAAACAACCTGAAGTGCCTCTGAGGTGGGGCTATGTGTACATGTGGTTTGATATTTAAACTGAGATCTAAAATTTTCAAATTTAAAATAAAAAGTTTATTAATTTGACAAATTCCTGTTGGATAAAAATTGTTTTTTTTTAAAAACCTTAAATGATGAGGTTAATTGCATGTCAAGTTTTCATTAGAAACAGGGATTCTTCACTGTGAAATCCTGAAACTCAATACCATTACAGTCAATTACCTAGTCTACTTTCTTCACCCATTAGATAAATTTGAGGGAAAATAAAGACAGTTTGTTCTTTATATTCGAACTACCTTTTTATTTTCAATTGTTTTATCATTCACTGCTTTTCTAAATAAGCATACAACTACAAATCGCAAATGAATTACAAGCTGCAAAACACAGCAAATCAGAACTGTATCATTACACCTTAAATCAAGCACTGCTAAAGGTCAAAAAAAAAAAAGTTTCCCTCCTCCAATGCACTGAGTTGGGAGGCAGGAATTTCTGTTGGGGGAGAACTCTGCATTTCTTCCATTTCTTGAACAGCTCTTACTCAATTTGCAGACGCATCCATTCCACTTATTTGCTAAAGCAAACCCAGGTGAAGGTTACATGCGTTGTCCTAAACTCCCTTTCAAGCTGTCTTCTAACATGTGAGAATACTTACAGTTTAAGATGCTTAATCATATTCTTATATTCTGCTGAAAACAAATCCAGATAGAGACTGGCAAAACTGTTTATTTAGACATAAACTTCACAAACTTTACTCAGTAACTTACTTAAGAAATAGTCTTAATGACACATTAGTATGCACTTATAGAAATGAGCACTAAAAAGGATATGCATCACTCTTCACCGTAGATATCTGTAAGATAATGAACTGTCATAGCAGCAAACGGTGGTTGCATCTCTAGTTCAACTGCTTTGCCTTAGACAGCTGTGCCTGAGTTCACGCAGGCTTCCCTTTCTCTTGGGAACGTTCCCATGGAAGTCAAAAGCACAGTCTGCTCCTGCAGTTGTTAATCTCTCATTTACCATAACCATGTGGTCACAGAAGAACACACTTGGTGCATCGAAACAGTCTTCTGAAAATATTTAATAGGGAGGACAGAACATAACTTTTTTCTTGTACAGAGTAAAGTGATCATACCAACCCCCTCCTTCTCTGAAGGAGCGTGCTTTGCTCGTGACTGTTCAGGGCTTGATAACTGGCTAGCTCCAAAGTGAAGCTTGCTGAGCCAGATGTTAGAGAACGCAGAACTGTTGAGTAGCCCTGGACAAAATGCAGAACACATACAAAGATACTTACTAACGTCAGTCAATTTAGGATATAGGAAAGATTAATTAGCACAGAAAGCTGTTTAGGTCTGAGAGAGTAAGTATATTGCAACATTTCAGCAAGTTAATTTGTTAATATTATTGTATTAAAAGTACAGTAACACCCCCCCCAGCAAACTAATTAATTAATAAATGATCTTTTTAACTAGTTCTCTGTAAAACTAGTTCTACTAGTTTTTACTACTTCTCTGACTTACTATACAATTGAAAACATGCTAGTTTAGCAACCTGAATTAGGCATAAAATACTATTACAATTCATAAGTGTAGTAACCAAGTAACTCTTAACTCCCTGCACCCTCTGGATAGCTTGCTTCAGACCTTCAGTGCAATTAAAACACACTTTAAAATATCTGTTCTAAACTTACTCATACATAACAATGGAAAAGGCTAATGGAAGCCTAATTATTTTTAAGCATAAAGGCAGATTTACCTTTTTATTTTTTTATTAAAAAAAAAAAAACCCTTTTGTTGTCATTTACCATTAACAAGATAACCACATACCATTGTTTCTGCTAGAGGAACAGCAGCAACTACAACTCTGTTATCTTGACGACTCTGGATTTCCTGAATACTGCCTCTCCGCTGCGCAAGGTCAGCAAGTGCCGCGCTGAGATGATCTTCACTCACTGTGATTTCTAGGTTCATAAGGGGCTCCAGTATTTGTATGCTGGCTTTTTTCAAAGCCTATATGAAAGGGAAGGAAAGAGGTATGCTAATTCCTTTTCAGTAACAAATTCACATAGAAAACGCTTACATACTTCAGGTAACACTCCTCTCAAATTCTCTGCTTCCAGGTAACACTCCTCTCAAATTCTCTGCTTCCAAAAACTATGAAGTCCCCAGAGAGAGCGTTACGCTTTCCAAGAAGAACAATTACCAGACACTGATATACACATATTTTTCTAACAGTACATCATGCTCCTGTGTTGTACAAGAGTCTATAGTTTTGTTGTACCTTTTGCATGCAACGGGAGACACAGGCTGATATCATCGTATGGGAGGTGTCAGGATGCACCATCAGTGATTTCACTGTCACTTCTATATCCTGAACTGGGGATCCTAGCAAAGGTCCTAGGAAAGAAAAGAAAAAAAAGTACTTGTTTTTCATAATATGAAGACAAAAAAAATAGTTTCAGGATTAATTTGTAGCTTCTGACTTTGTTCTTTCCCTTCTCCTTCGCCCTCCCTCTCCACAAGGGCATGACCACTTGTCTCATGCCTTACTTTCATGATTTTAGCATTATCCAGCTTTGCCACAAAGCTAGATGTGGCAAAGGAATGCAGTCATACTTTCTTATTCTGTTTACCAAAAACACAGCTAACAATTTTCAGAACCAAAAGTTCCTGAGTGCGTTCATCCTTACCCCTGTTCCTAAAAATTAATCTTACAAAGAAAAAAATTTGACACTGTAATATCTAAAACACGCCTACTGAAACAAGAACATTTACTTTGAAGAAGTCATGAAAACTTTTGTTTAACCTGTAGCCAGAACGTCGTCTTCTGCGTTTTCCTTGTCAACAGAGTGAAAACTTCTGTTTAACCTGTAGCCAGAACGTCTTCTGCGTTTTCCTTGTCAACAGAATATGATCTCAGCAAAGGTCAGATAATAACCCACTGCCCAAAGTTCAGGGTTGACGCACTCTAGGAGGGAGGAACTGCCTCTCTGGTGACCTGCTAGGTTACCTCCCCTCTCCAGGATTCTCAGCCAGACCACAAACTCTGAGACTAGATGGGAGGCTGGAACAAGATCTCGGAAAGTTGAAACACACAGCTTTCTTCACACAGACAGCGTGGCCAGATGACCTCTTTTTAAACACCCTTAGAGGGTTGGATTTTAGGCCACAGACAGCACAGTTCTGAATGGTCTTCAGGGACTGCAAAGAAAGCACGCAGGCAAGCTTTGAGGGCCAGAATCAAGACTCATTCCACAGCAAGAGAGGAGAGATGCTTTGCAACTGAACAAAGCAACACAGAAGACATAGGACATGCTGCTGCTTCTGGAACAATTCTCATTTATCAATCCACTGCCTGTTAGTTTTACTGTAAGTTATTTGGCCACAAATTAATACATACATCCTCTTTTGAACCAAAAGTAAAGGACAGTTTAGTCCTTTAGAGAGCCTATACTGTGCAACTAGGCTAAGCTTTTTATTACATACATACTTCCGCTGATTTAACAGATTTGAAAATGAGAAAAACCATCAGTAACTAATAGAAGTGTGGTATTTACAAGTTGACCTCGTAAGCCAGTTCCATCAGATCGCTGTGGTTTACATGATGTCATCAAGTAAAGGCTTCATCTGTTATACCAGATTAAAAAACAACCACCACCACCACCACCAGCAAAACCAAGCTTGTTGTTGAGTTACTTGGAAGAAAACAAGCTTAAAACTGAAAGCATGCTGACTTCCGTTCCTAGCACGGGAAAAGGGGTGTTCAGCAATTTTTGTAGTAAAGGAAATGCTGTATTTTTTTCTTTGCATTTGTATTGTTAATAGGTAATGCCTTAATTTTCAAGCTACCAAGGCGTCTTTCCTCCTAGAAAGCTATCAAATTACTTCTTATATAAAAGTTAGAAAAACGTAGCTGTCACAGCACTTCCTTTACCTTGAATGCATGAATTGGCAATTCCATTTTCTATTGCTCCTTGAAGTTCTTTGGGAAGCAGCTCAAGGACATTTTCAGCATACTCTATGACTGGTGGTGTTGCTCTCTCCCCCGACCTCGGCCTCACCTCTAGCTCTGCAGTTACAAAGTGCCTTCTGTCTCCTACTGTTTTGTCCAGTGTATCTACAGGAAAAAAAATGAAGGAAGGATATGGAAAAAAGCTCATACACCAAACAATTAATTTGAAACTTACTCAAAATGATTAAACGTAAGTAAAGATCATTTCAAATAAAGCAAGCTACAAAACCAGAAACAAAATATTCCTTGTAGTCACTCATTCTACCTGTAGCTTGGGCAGCATTTAGGATGGTTTCTCTGTATGCTATTTGAAGAGGTCCCAAGTAAGTCTCAATTCCATATTCACGTTTGATTCGGTCATGAATAATCTCTATGTGTAGTTCTCCCATGCCACACAGAATAGTCTAGTTAGAAAAGAGTTAAGGTGGGGGGGGGGGACATAACAAACTCAGGTTGTAATATAGACTATTTAAGCAAGGACTCTCCTTATATGCTTTTCGTAGCCTCTAAAAAATATTTCAAAATTCTGCAGAGCCCAGAGGTAAGAAAATAGGTCTGCTTTATATCTCCTACCTTAAACGCCATGTAGGGGAGATGGTAATTACTACTACTATGCCCACTATAAAAAAAGGACATATTGTAATATCTTCGATATTACATATTTCAAACTTTTCTAACTGTAAAAAGGACCGTCAAAAACATACTCTGCAGAATACAGGAGATTATCTTATGTTCTGCATAAGTGTTCAAGGTGTCATGCTAGTTTGCCTTGATGTACAGAACTTTGTACATTTTTTAGACCCCTCTTAATTTAAAGAAATCTCAACATGTAAATGAACCAATTGAAGGCTGATCTTAACAGTCCTAAATTAAAGTTTGCTTATAAGGTCAGTAATGGAAGACTTATCTTACCTGCCCTGTGTCAGGATCTAGCTTCACTTTTAAACTAGGATCTTCTCGTTGAAGGCAGCTCAGTGCATTATCCAAGTCTATACATATATGTCAAACACCGTAATGAGACTTCAGTAATGTGAGAATCACAAGGCCTAAACATCGTGTTCCTCACACAGTCAAATCTTTTTCTCAAAAGGAATCAGGAGGACCCCAGTGAAACACAGATTGTGGCAGACAAAAATCAACTTTAATACAAGCAACTTTCAACTTCTGATTCTCTCCAATAAATCAACTGTAGGCTACAGAACATTTCTATGACTGAGCTGATGTCTTCAACAGTAAAACTTAATGACATCAAGCAAAAGCTTAAAATCTTCTGTGCAACTTTTAGAGAAAAAGAGCTTTTTAACTAAAATAACAACTGTCCCAACTTAAAAATAATGACTTACTGAAAAAAAAAATAATAATAATTTTCACTGTTAACAATAGCATTTTCTGAGTGATATTTTGCACTTTAAAGAGGTAACAGAACCTGTAAGTCCTTTATCAAATGAGTGAAAAATAGTGCTCTCCTTTTACAGGTAATACAAATTTTAAACTAGCTCTTAACTGATTTGCATGAAGATTTCAAGATGAATTCAGCAAGAACAAAAAAAGGGCTCAAATGCAAGTCAATTCTTCCGATTCCCACCATCTTACTTAACTACTGAGGGAATCTTACTTAACTACTGAGGGAAACAGCTCTAGGAAAGCAGCTGCAGCACAGCGAACTTGCAACTGAAACTGCATTTATCCACCTTGCAGCCTTTGAAAAAAAATACCCACAATCCAATGGTTCAGGCTGCAGACACATAGCTCCAAAACCACATTCTGCCTTGCTCCAAAACCACATTCTGCCTTGCTCCATTCCATCATCCCATGCTGGTATTTGTCCTTCCTCTCTTTACCCAGTGAAGTCCCAGCATTCAACCAAGCTCAGCTTTGTTGCAATGAAGATACAGAGTGCAAAGTGTGTATTTCCAGAGAGTCAAACTATCAGGTCCTCTGATAAAAAGTTTTTTGAGAAAGGCAGCAAGATCAGAGGCCACACTGCATGGGTAAACACTGACTAAACACAGATCTACGGGAAACGTTCAGAAATGCCACAGAGGAAAACCGCAAGTGCCGACTGAAGAAAGCACTCACGTTTTAAGGCTAGCTGTACTCGGAGGCAGAATGCACAGCACACTAGCTTGAGTGGGGCAAAGCTAAGCATGACAGCAAGAATGAAGGAGAGGAAAAGAGTGAACTGCCTCCATCTCTTCTTCCCAAGTGAAGAACTAGTACTCTTCCACACAGAAAAACTGTTCAAGAAATAACAGCAAAAGATACTAACAATCACAATCTGAAATACATCACATCTGTGCGATATAAAAGGCGATAAGGGCCGCCTTAAATCACTGACAGATAAATGTGTACAACTCTCAGATGTCAACCAGCTGTGCATGGATCAGGGTACAGCACAACTCCAAGTCTATAAGCAGGTCATACCTGGTTGTTTGGCCACTGAAGGTGGCTCAATTGTACAAAAGAAGACTGGCTCGGGGACTTCAACACCCGCCAGCAGAAGGCTCTCTACTTCACCGGTACGTGTCTGCTTTCCACCAGCGTCCCTTCCAGCTCGGCGCGCTGCTGCTACAGCTGAGGCCTTTGATGACACTATGGTATCTCCAGTGGCACTCTATACATCAACCCCCAGTGACCCACAAGAGAGAGGAAGGGGGGAGGGAAAAAAAAAAAGCAACTGATTTTTTTTCTTCCTCAATACCAGTTGTGCTAAACTCCACTTACTTAAAAATAAGTACTTTAACTTTAATAAGTGCTCTTTGAGTAATTAAAATGATTTGGAAGAGGAGGAAAAATTTTGCTCAACTTTAGACTACCTTTTCTTCATCAAGCTCACCACATTTTAAATCTATATTATCACTCAAGATATAAGGCCACAAAAGGCCAGTACTGGCAAAGGAAAATTTGATTATGCATGCTAAAATTGCTTACATTTAAGAAAGAACCATGCAAATGAGATCTATTCTGCTCACACACTAAAACACAGGATTAGTAAACTATCCAATGGAACCATGAAAATGGAACATATTTACTTTTGATTTTAGGCAACTCAGTTGCAACATCACTCTCCTTCCCATTTGAGGTCTCTTCATGGCGTTACATTGCACTGCTATTTTAAGAGTTAGAAGATCAGAATCCTTCTAAAATTGTTTCAATTTTCAGCCCTTCCCACCTAAACAGCACTGCATCTCCTCAGGTAAATTACTGACACTTGCGCATTATAATTTTTCATTTCAGGAGGAGGTATAAAGTTTACATATGTGGCAAAAAAAATCAACACACACAAAAAAAAATGTTTGAGACACAATATCACAGAAGTGGAAAGTACAGAACTAAGCAAGTATCATGGTCCTGGACAACCTGCTCTAACTGACCCTGCTTGAGCAGGGGGACTGGACCAGAGGATCTCCAGAGGTCCCTTTCCAACCCCAACAATAATCTGCGATTCCTTTAGGATCAATTTTTTCCTTTACCTGTTTTAACCCAACAGTAAGGGCAATGTTGCCAGCCATTAGTGATGGTATTTCAATTTGCTGATCAGCAAAAGGCAGGAGCAGTCGGCTCATTCTCTCTCTGCAAATGAAATTCCTGAATTACTCATTACTTTAATAGACACTCCAATACTACAACAAACCGTACCTCACTCCTACTCACGTGCAATTTCTGTTAATATTATATATAGCTGATTGAGGTTTCACTGAACCTGAATAAATGCGAATGAAAACTAGTGGCCCACGACATTTATCATGGAGAACTTTAAATGCTAGGGCACACAGGTCATCATTGTACCACTTTCTGCAAGAGAAAAACACAACAAAAAGTAAACTTGTACGATTAACCCACTTCAAATCTAGATTTACCTAAATTTGCACTTATTTAAGATGCTATGGGTTTCTTAGTTGTACCATTTATAAAAGGAGATTTTTTTAAAAACCAATTTTATACAAATATATTAATCTAAGCAGTTCCAGCTGCAGAAGAGATACGTAACACGATGTCATGCGACTCAGTCAATACTAGAAATCATCCCTCGAACCCCGCTTTGTGTCCTCACGTTAAAAATTGAAAATATTTTAAAACTCTAAGCTGCAAGTTTGGCAGCTGGAGACAAATGCAGGCAGTTTCAGTAGCACTGGCCAAAATTGGCTCAGGACTCAAATAGTGTTTTATTCTACATATCTTAACTGCCACTTAATACCAAAAATTAGCAAATTTTGTTGAAGGTACTAATTTTTTTGTTAAAAAATATTTTTAACTTTCTCCTTTTACCCTTTCCTACTTGTTTTTCCTTTTTCCTGACACTCCCGTTCCCCCCACCTTTTCTCCTTATACTTACAGAAACTCATATGAACGCTCATTAGGTGCAGGCAAGTACGCAGTAATAGCATCCAGTAACGGCTGCACTCCTTTATTCTTCAATGCGCTGCCACAGAGAACAGGCACTGCTTTCTGGGCTAGCGTGACCCGACGTATAGCAGACTGTAACTGCAGAAAATAATTATTTGCAGTTTACACTTGCTGTATAGTCCCATATTTATTTAGCAATACAGATCCCAAGAAAGTTAAGAACTCTGATTCAAATACAGCAATCACTCTTCCAAACACCTTTCATTGCCTTTAAAGGGCTCTGGATGAACCATAAACCCCGATGTTTAGATGCCAGAACATAAGAAACCACTTTTAAGATTTCTACACAATTCATGCAGATTTATAACTGTTCTTATTCTTTCTCTAACATTCTTTTTTATTCAGAAATGTTTTACCTCACCATTTTCAATTGCAATGTCTGAAGGTCAAACCAATTCAGAAGGAGACATGTTATTTTGTTAGTGAGAATCAATAGTTTAGACACAAATTGGCCTGACACCACCTGAAAACTCCATTCACTCTTCCCAAAACTCTTGCAGCAGCTTAACTGTCAATAAAAATATCCATAACAAATGTACCATACTTTTAGAGCTGTGCCCAGCATATTTAAGAATCAGTCACTATATTATCCGATAAAGTTCACATTAAGCTTGAATACACTTTCTCCTAAGTTCACATTGCTTTAAAATCACCCAAAAAAGCTGCTGCAGCACTTTTCATTGATTGAAAAAACACATATTTGCAAAATCAAAATCAGTATGTGCCAAAGGAAGACACAACCCTGCTCCTCAGAATGACAGCTATAAAAATATTTCTAATTAAAGGTAAAATTTACCTTGTCAGCTGGTAGTAGGTCAAAATTTTCACTATATTCTCCTAGAACCAGTTCAGCAAATTCATCATCCAGATCTGCAACCTTCAAGAGAATATTTCTGCTTTATTATTTAGCATATAGCAGTTTCACATATAAGTCACCAATCTTAGTCATTTAGGAATTAACTAACTGGAGGGAGAATGAAGCCTTTACAGAATCACAGAATGGCTGAGGTTGGAAGGGACCTCTGGAGATCATCTAGTCCAACCCCCCTGCTCAAGCAGGGTCACCTAGAGCATATTGCCCCGGATCACATCCAGACGGGTTTTGAATGTCTCCAGGGAAGGAGACTCCACTACCTCTCCGGGCAACCTGGTCCAGTGCTCTGTCACCCTCCCAGGAAAGAAGTTTTTTCTCAGGTTTAGATGGAACTTCCTGTGGTTCAGTTTCTGCCCGTTGCCTCTTGTCCTGTCGCTCTGAGCACCACAGAGAAGAGACTGGCCTCATCCTCTCGACACCCCCCCTTCGGATACTTGTACACATTGATGAGATCGCCTCTCAGTCTCCTCTTCTCCAGACTGAACAGGCCCAGCTCCCTCAGGCCTTCCTCATAGGAGAGATGCTCCAGTCCCCGCATCATCTTTGTAGCTCTCCGCTGGACCCTCTCCAGGAGTGCCATGTCTCTCTTGTACTGGGGAGCCCAGAATTGGACACAGCACTCCAGGTGAGGCCTCACCAGGGCTGAGGAGAGGGGCAGGATCAATCACCTCCCTCGACCTGCTGGCAACACTCTGCCTCATGCACCCCAGGAGACCCTTGGCTTTCTTGGCCACAAGGGCACACGGCTGGCTCATGCTTAACTCGTTGTCCACCAGGACTCCCACCCAGGTCCTTCTCTGCAGAGCTGCCTTCCAGCAGGTCAACCCCCAGCCTGTACTGTGCATGGGGTTATCCTTCCCCAGGTGCAGGACCCTGCAACTTGCCTATGTTGAACTTCAGGAGGTTCCTCTC